CTCCCCTCCCCCACAACTAGACTGGGCAATTGGTACAGACCCTGGTCTGCCAGGAATCACAGCCCATAAGTCCCAAAATGAACATTTTGAGAAGCCCCTGAAGCTTCTGGCTCCTGAAAGGAGAGAAAAGGAAGTACCAAGATCCTCCTCCTATTGTGGCCATTAGGATTTGGGTCATAGCTGGTGTGCTCCAACACGGACAGATGGTGCAAAGTCAGAGCAGGCTAACTCATAGAAGAATTTGGAGAAAGGAGACTTAGCTAATCCTGAACCCCACTGAACTCAAAGCCTAAATGGAACAGACTAATGCAGTGTTTCTCAACCTCAGCCTCTTTAAGATGGGTGGATTCCAACCCCCAGAATTCCCCAGCCAGCATTCTGGGAATTGAAGTCCACCCATCTTAAAGTAGCTGAGGTTGAGAAACCCTGGACTAATGCTTGAAGGCCCCAGCCTTGCCGTTCCTCTTCAGTATCTCTTCTGTGGACAAGAAGAGCAACCTTCCTCCCCTTTTTAATCCTGCGAATCACTTTTGCTGCCAAAAGTGGACAAAAAAGACATAAATACATAAAATGCAAACCATCCATCGCTGATGGGAGACACAGGCCTTTCAGGCACTTTGTAACATGGATGCTACGATGCATTTTCAGTAAAGAAAAAAGTATCTTATAGCTTTTTCTCAGGGGTCTCCTGCAAATGGGGTTGAAGGATTTCAAGCTACAGGAATAAAAAAAGGGGTGGGGTGGGGTGGGGTGGGGTGGGGGTGCTGCATCAGGATATTTCCTGATGAAACCCGTTTTGATCAGAGCAAGGTCCGTCCATGGCGGTGGGAAGAGAAGGACCTCTGAAGCTGAAAGAAGCTCTCACCTTCAAAGGGGGCTCCAAGCTGAGGGAGGAATCCTCTGAGCCACCAACGGTCTGTTTTCAAGCTTATATACCAAGGCTTACATGCTCACACCCTGCACGGCAAGATAAGATGATCTAAAACAGGGTGGTAAAGCAGGTGGCATCCACTACCTGTGGAGGACAGAGAAACCCATCACCCAGCTGTTTTTTCAGGAAATTGCAAAGTCGTGGGCTAATTTCTGGACTGTATTTATCTAGAACTTCCTCCTTTCTGATATGCCCAGATATGACCCCCCCCAGATGTTATCAAGGACTTTCATAATATTACCGATATCCTGTTCTTGCATCAAACCACCAAGAACAGCATGTAATATAATAATAAAACCATATCATCTCAGTATCAACAATTTCTAGGGTACTGTAGTAACAAAATCCAACCTGTGGGCGCTTTTTATGGCGTTTGAGTGTGGGTCTCTCTCTCTGTGGGTATCCGTGTGTGCGTGTGTGCATGTGTGCATTCACATTCTACTTTATCCCATTGAGGCATCTGGTTGTCCATTGTGAGAATAACTGGACTGACTACAGAAGCATTTTGTCTGACCTCACTTCAGGATCTACTTAGGCGCCTCATCTACCAAGAAAGGGTTAGTTCTAGCACTGGGTCTGAACTTGGCTGGGGGAAAGTTCCAGTTTAGACCCACTGTCAACTTAATCCTCCACCCTGCCACCCGCCACCCACCACCATGCGTTGGGCTTCAGCAGGTCAAGTAGAAGGTGACTTGACTTGTAGAGAAGGAAACCTCTTTGTGCTGTGCAGATGGCGGACTTTGCTGCCGGGAGGTCAGGCTCCCAACGGCTAAAAATATAGATGGTGGTTTCCCGCTTCCTGAACCCAAGGCAAAGCGCCTGAAATTTCAGCTGCTGGGAATGGCCAGGGTCTCTTGTCCTCCAGTCCAGACTTGGGAGACTCCCAAGGCACTCAATTGGCCAAAGGGTGACACAGAAGATAAACCAGATGGACCTCACACTTGATCCAGCTCTGGAGCAACTCCGATGTTCTAACTTTAAGAGGACTACTAAATAAATTTTCCATGTTGGGGGAGATGGGTGGCATACAAGTTTAATAATAAATAATAAATAAATAAATAAAAACATCTATTGGGAAGTCTGGCAGGTCCTTTGGATGCCCAATGAAAGCGTCCAATTTAAATTACCAGCTTCGCCCAAGGAGCCTTATACCTTCCATTAGGCAATATTCTGAGCTGAGATAAAGGAGGTCTAAAACAACCGTACCCAATGTGGGGGTCTTCAGAGGAGTAGGTGAATTTTTATACTCATTAGTGAGGGAGCTATAGAAAAAAATATGTGGAGACCACCATACACTGGCATACGCTTGCCCCAGCAAGCGTATATCATCTGATGGACCCCATGCAGTTTCGGAGGGAGCCTGGGTTTCCCTGAAGCTCTGGTACAGCAGAGGTCCTTGTCGCAGCTTGGAACGAGCATGTGGCAGGGGCCCCGGACTGGATCGTGCCTGCGCAGACTCTGTGGTTGTGGATCTTGCAGAGTGCTGTAGTTTACCAAAGAACTCCAAGAGATGTATGAGACAAGAGACCCTAGAGTACCGGTGGTGAGAGATTAAGAGTGAAGCTGGCTGAGCACAGGTAAAGACCTTCATTACAACGTACCGTGTGGTGATAAGGGTGGCGTAGCAAACTTGCTCTTATTGCATCTGCAGCCCTGTTTCTGGTGACCAGGTCCCTCTTGGGTATGGAGGAACCTTGCAGGGACACTATGAGAAATACTCTCAGCATTTGTCAGAGCCGCTTGACTTTGCTTGGAATTGGATGGTGGCTGAGCAGGTCTTCTGGAAGTGACCAAGACACATCTGAATTTAGTAATCTGGGAGAAGTTTGAGGTGGTCAATTTTCAGGAAGTGGACAGGGTCCTCATGGCTGTGACCTGGCCACCTGTGTCCTAGACCCATGCCTCTCCTGGTTGGTCAAGGCCTCCTGGGAGGTGGTATGTGGTTGGACCCATGCAGTGGTTAATGCCTCCCTGCAAGATGGAGTGGCTTTGGTTTTTGGGCTCCCCTGGATCTGGTGATGTGTTCTCTCTGATTCTCGATGGGGGTAGCACTTCCCTGAATAGAGCTGATGCACCATTTGGGGGTCCTCCTTGATTTTCAGCTCCTGCTCAAGGAGCGGGGGTGGCCATGTCTGGGGGGAGGCCTTTGCACAGAATCATCTTGTGCATCACTTGGGCTCATCCCTGGACCAGGATGATCCCTCAGGCCTTGGTCACTTCTTGGTTGGACTACTGCAATCGGACTGTCCTTGAAGACCACCCAGAAGTTACAACTGGTCTAAAATGTGGTGGCACATGCAGTGTTGGGTGCCCTTGGTTTGCCCATTTTCACCATTGTTGCACGAGCTGCACTGGCTCCCACTTTCTTTCCAGGTGCAATTCAAGGTGCTGGTTATCACTTTTAAATCCCGAGATGGCACAGGTCCAGGTTATTTGCAGGACCGGCTCTCCCTGAGGGTGTCTGCCAACTCAACCAGATCAAATAGGTGGGCACAATCCAGGTCCCTTCTCTTAAATGTTGCCATCTAGCAGGACCTAGGAAGACACCTTTTCCATAGCAACCCCTGTCCTGTGGGGCACTCTTCCCCCAAGATCTGGCAGGCCCCCACCCTTTCAACCTTCTGGAAAGCCATAAAGGGCAGGCTGTCCCCCCAGCATTGGGACAGAGCGAAGTTGAAGCCCGAGGGTTGTATGGTTTCATGGATTGAAGATTGTTGATTCAGGAGCCAGGTTCTTGGTTTTACTTTGGTCTTTATTGTTGTGAATTGCTCAGAGTCGTGTTTCATGATAGGTCTTTTAAATAACAACTCTGCCCCTGGGGCTGGAGATACCACCTTCATAGGCAAATGCATGGAAGGCGAAGCTAATTCCTTCCGAAACTTGGTGGACATAACTACAGCTTGGGGGGCTGAGTTGCAAGCTGCAACTGCCTTCTGTGCTTTACCCGTTCCAACTTTTGCACTGTTGGGCTCCACTAAGTTCTCGCTAGTTGCTACACAAGGAGATTTTACTTCTCATAGCTGAACTGAGTTTGCATCACCTTGAGGGAACTCTTGTTATTAATTAGCTAAAGAACACTTAATTGCCAAAGTTGTCAGGAAGTTTTCCAACTCCTCTCCTGCACCGGAGACTTCCATCTGAACCTTCCTCTAGGGAAAGAGCCCTCTAGGGTGGGCGCTAATGGGGTGGAATTAGCACCAGGGAGAGGGGTTGTCAACCAGGCTCTTCTCTGGACTAAACAAGGCGCGAAGGGAGTTGTTAACCGTCTCTTGCCGAAGCCGCAGCCCCCACCCCTCCCGGGCCCCATAAGCACCTCTGGGGGACGCAATCAGCTTCCTCATTCTCTTCTTTGGGCACAACGTTGCCTTAAAAAAGGAGGAACAAACTTGTGTATTTTCCTCACCAACCTCCCCCATCCTGACCCCAAGGGGTGTATCCTAGTGGGAAATTTGGGAAGTTGTTTTCTAAGGTAAACTTGGAAGTGCCAAGTTGCAGGAATTTTTCACAAGTTTGTTTTACTGCGTGCAAGTTTTGATCCTGCAGGTTAATTTAAGTGCTGGCCTTTGGCAGCAAAAATCATTCCTTCATGAGCAGGGCATCAAATGTTTTCCACATCCC